TTATATTATATTATATTATCCGACAAGTATTTACATTCTTTTTTATTTATTTATTCTAAAAATAAGGAATTACAAAATGTGTTGCAAAAAAACGGTACCTATTATTAATTTGATCTATTGAAGTCAACGTTTTAGCGACAGAAAAATAAAAGTTAGTTCGTTATGTGAGAAACTACCAACCCCATAAATTATAAAATAAGTGTATTAATATATTAGTAATAAATTCAAATATTGTTTTGTGTTAGTTGTTTTTATTACATTTTATGAAATAAATATGGCAATCAACAATGCATTTAAAAGCTCTAGTTACACAGTTATCAAAATACACGCATTCATTAATAGCATACATATAATGTTTATTATAATGCATATTTATGCATTTATAACTGGTAGTATTGGGAAATTTCAGATAACGAGTAAAAATTAATTAATTAATATGAATCGCAATATTCATCTCCATATCAATAACAATTATAAAATAACTGTCGATACAACAATTTTAAATAAAATAGAACTCGAACAAATTTTTATTACCTAACCCCAATATTTTAAATTCAGATTGAGGCTTGGTTAGTAACTAATCCTGCATTTAAATTCGAGTTTATTAAAGCTTTCCAGACCCCATAAAAAATAAATAAATAGGATAAATAGAATAGGTTAACAAAATAGGAGAAACCATTTCTATTTTTCACCATATCCTATGCGTGCACAGTAATGGCTTCTATTCTATATGCTGCGTTGACTGTTAGTAGTGTAGTAGATTTAACTTTATTGAGTAAATTTATTTCCTAGAAGTAAGTGTTTGTGTTTAAAATTACATTATTCTTTCTTATAATTATCTAGGTACATTAAAACTTTGTTTATTCATTGTATGTAAATAATTATTTAATTTTCGAATATTTTGAGAATGATGCAATAAAATATTAAATTTTCAGAATTATATGAACTCTTGAGATAAATAAATTAAATTAAGTAACATATACATATATTTGATATTTTCAAAATACTAAAGCCTCCTAGCTTCAAGCAAGATTTTTCCTTCACTGTAATACTAAAATGTTTTCTTTCAGGCCGTTTTCGAGCGCTTAGTGGACATAATCTGCGACAAAATGTCAGACAGCCTAGACACTGACCCGACCCTAATGAGCGGCGGGGCAAAGGGCCAACGCTTAACGGACGCCCCCCAAGGTCCCCAAGCTGCCAACTGCAACTGTTAATAACCTTAAGAGAATCAAGTCCCGTTCAGACGTGGACCTCCTCTTCACAAAACTGTTGATACTTCGACCAGGATGTATGAAAACTTAAAACTCTTTCCGTTTACTTTTATCGAGACTGACAATACGCATGAGCAAAAATGATGTTCTATAATATTCTATTGAACTTTTGCATGCGTGTATTACCTGCATTTTTATAGTTAGAAGGGATACAAAATTTTCATCTCGCCAGTTTTGCACTGGAGGTCAACGAACTAAAATTGTTCAAGATTTTCAATTAATGAAGCATAATTGGCTTTTTTCGTACTACTTTCCCAACATTATTGTGGGACATACTTATTGTTGTTAAATGTTTCAAATTTTGGTACTAATAGTGTTAAGTGTTGAATCGAGATACCAGACAAGTTTTGTATCCTTTTTAACGGTGTTTAAAAATTTTATAACAAGCATTTTATAATTTGCAAACTCAACAAAAACAATGTCAATATTAGAAAAAACAAATGTAGAGTAGCATGAGGTGTTTTGACGGGATAATCAGTTATTTGTAGTGGTTAGTTACACTGAAAATATAAATATTTTTTGTTTCGTCATACACTTTGACATACAAGAATGATGTTCTTCTATAGTTATTAATGTAAACAATGGCCTTTACATAATTAAATCTTCCAAAGTATATCACATTAGATTTTGGATATATTTATTTTTTTTATTTCTCTTCGCTCCTTTCTCTACGATATGGTAATATAAGAGAAGTCATTGTGTTCATAATGTATAAAGTTGGTTGTGAACATTTCAATACTATATAGTCCACGGGCCCACGTACAAAGAAAAAATAATTACCAGCAAACTGTAACTTTGCGTGCAGCTTAAGTTTGACGAGTCTCCCAAGATTTGACTACGAGGAAATTCAACAGTGATAAGTTTTCCCGTGATTTTCAGGAAAACATGTCAATCTGGCATAAACATGGAATGTTATGACCAGCACTTTTTTAAAGTTTAAATGAAAGATATATTTTTTAAACCCCCCAAAAAATTTGACCGACAAAAATGTTGGTATTTTGAGTTTGTCCCCCACCCCAAATATGTCGATTTGGTGACATTATGGTTGGTGACAACCAGCAAGCTGTTTTTTCTGGGAGGGTTTGGTAATAAGCTTTGAGATGAAAGTATCTTATTGTCCGACAAAATTCTTGAGAAGTTTTTGCAGTCCAACGCCCCGAAGATGTCGACTTAACGACAACATGGTTGGTGATAACCAGCAATCTGGTTTTGATTTGTTCTCTAATAATTGAAATGTATAACACAATAATATACTTGTCCGCCAAATAGATTGAAAAATTTGCCTTAAAAATGGGAAAAATAACGATTATTGTGGTACCTAATGTTCATTCTGCTATAAAATAATTAATTTTTTAATGAAAAAATAAAGAAGAATAAATAAGAAAATTATCTTGTTAACAGGAGCAACAGAAATTGAAATTCATAAATAATTATGTCAAACTAATTTAATTAATCTCCATAAGGATGATTTCTTTGTTCAAAAAACTTATATGTACATTTTATTTTATAAACTATTTTATAAACTATTTTATAAAAAAATGGTAACTGTACAATGAATGCATAAATTTTTGCTTGTGTTTTTTTTAAATTAAAATTTGCAATCTTGTTTTGACAAACAGTTTACACATAGTTTTGTTTTTGAAAAACCAGTTAAACCAATTTTAAAAATATTATTATACATTTATCAACCCGTTTATTAAAAGATTATCTTGTTGTAAAGTATAAATACTTAACGCGAAATGACTTTGCGCATTTAAAACCTGCTGCCAAAGTTCTTCACAGGTGTTTATAGTTTCTCCATAAACAACTGATTTGTAACCCCAAAAACGGAAGTTTCGGCATTCCATCTCACATTTATGCATATACAATTTAAATTAAGATGTAATTTTAGGTGCGAATAATAATGGACAGTAGCATACAAATGACAGCAATAAGACAAGTGGAATATGTCAATTATTTGATTTTCGTCCAAACTTAAGAAACTTCACCGTTAAATTAATAATAGGTAGGTACTTCATTGTAATTTAATTCAACAGCATCGGAAGTTTCAAAACCAAAAAACTTGGAAAATAAGAATTTGATACCAAAGATACCTTAAAGAATAAAAAAGTTATGTCGTTTTTAACACATTCAATGTACTGCAGCTAGCGCCCTCTATGAACTTTAACCAAAATGTGAACACATTTCAATTCCTCTACATAAAGAACTCCAAACCTCAAAATTTTGTGAGGATATTTGCATTTTTTAAGGAATAAATGAAAAAAACTAAAATAATATTTTACATTTAACACCCTGTATCTCTTTAACTATCAACTTTTGGACTAAGGTAAGTTCGGCTAAATCGCGATACTTTTGCTTCGAGAATCTACCTATGAATTTTAAACTATTAGCTCGGGACTGCCCTGTATACAATTTTTTTGTAATTGTATAAAAAAATAAATTTAAATTAGTCATATTCATTTTGAAATTTGAGAAATTTAAACAAAATTTTTTTTATTCAAATATTTTTTTTATTAAATATAAATTTTTCTTCTACATCATGCGTAAGTATTGAAAATTTTATAGTTTAATTTTGTCGGACAAGCAAAAAAACCGATAATTTTGTCGGACAATTAAATTCTCAGATTAATATTGCATTTTTTTAAATAATGACGCTTTTGTCCGACAGCTGGTTATCACCAACCATGTTGTCGTTATGTCGACATCTTCGGGGCGTCGGACTGTAAAAACTTCTCAAGAATTTTGTCGGACAATAAGATACGTTCATTTCAAATCTTATTACCAAACCCTCCCAGAAAAATCAGCATGCTGGTTCTCACCAACCATGATATCACCAAATCGACATATTTGAGGTGGAGACAAACTTAAAATACCAACATTTTTGTCGGACAAATTTTTTGGGGGGTTTTAAAAAAATATATCTTTCATTTAAACTTAAAAAAAAGTGCTGGTCATAACATTCCATGTTTATGCCAGATTGACATGTTTTCCTGAACATCACGGGAAAACTTACCACTGTTTAATTTTCCTCATAGTCAAATCTTGGGAGACTCGTCAAACTTAAGCTGCACGCAAAGTTACAGCTTGCTAGTAATCATTTTTTCTTTGTACGTAGGCCCGTGGACTAATAGTGTTTCATAAACAAAAGGGATATTAAATTTTTTGTAACTATATCATATTTACGTTTTAATAGACTTGACAATGTTTAAGCCGTTTTTTCAATATAGTTTTAGTATTCACTTCTAAAGAAACTCCAAACTTTTAACTGGAATATGAGAGATTAATTACTCCTAACAATACTTCAAATATGTGTCGTATTAACAATGGTAGTTTCTTTCAGTGTAACTAACATTACTATGGAAGTTGTTAACGAATTTTGTAAATGTCGTGATATTTATTTTAACGGTAATTATATTATATTAGCAATTCGTTAGGTCCACACGAGATTATACATTATGTTATTAGGTATGTTTATTATACTACAATCTTACAGTAGCGTCCTAAACTTACATATACCTAGATGAGAGACAATACCTACTTTATAGAACCACCTCTATTTATTATTATTAATTCCCCATTCGTTTTCGCCACACAGGCTATTTATTATTATTAATTCCCCATTCCCTTTCGCCACACAGGGTGCTGTTTGAGTTTCCTATCAATAGAAATTCAAATTTAGTTATACATATCGTTGGCCTAAAAGGCAATTATTCTTGTCAATGTGTTGTATAATTCTAGAGAAAGAGGGTAATAGCAAGCTTAAAAACAAAAACGCGATGTAGTAACAGTACTATATTATTGACTATAAAACAAAATAAATGTGAAAATGTAAATATAGGAACTGTACGAGATTAGTTTTTTTTAGTTTATTTTGTTATATTGTTAATATGTGTTATTAGACGCTTTTAGATTAATTAGGTTTAGTTGCGTTTTATTGTTTACGGTGGAGGACATCACACTTTAAAAAAAATCGAAAATGTACTACCCTGCATCAATATTGAACAACTTGTGATATATTATTAACTCTTCAAGATACAATTCTACCATGAAAATTTGCAGATATTTATTTCTGTAAGTTTCTCAAAGCAAGTAACCCAAAAATTTCGAGGCAGTTTTTGTTATTGGTACAGATTACTTCTGTCTTTTAGTTTTTTCTTTATGGAATTTCATTCGATTATTATTAAAGTACAAATTTGGAAAAGATTTTGGAAAGATCGATACACGTGAATATATCGTAATTGAAGCGTTTGGTCCAAAAATGATTTGATCAAGTAGGTAAATATCACCATTATTTTTAGACCATTGTATTACGAGGTCATTTCGATACCATTGCAAGACTAACTTCTGATTTGATCTTCAAATGAACTTGTAGTTTGACTTCTTATTTGCAATCTACTGGGGTATATAATTTACCGCTTTTTTGGGATCCGGTCCCGGAAATACAAGTACCGATACAAAAAGAACCAAGGGCAACCCTCAAATAACCTTCAATATTAAATCCAAGATTGCATATCAATAAAAATATTTGTAGAAGTCATCAAGATCGATTTATGCAGTGGACCTTCAAATGACCTTGAGGACCAAAGTCAAATGCAAGGTAATTATTGCGTACGTTGATGAAATTCCCATCGACATTGAGAGCAAACATCTTATTCCGAGGTTACTTCAGGGATGACGAATCATTTGAACTCGCTGTGACCTTGACTTTTACCGCAAGGTCAAAATTGAATTCCCAGGGTAAAAAATAGAGAGTTCCATTTAAAATTATGAAATTGACCTTCAATTGACCTTGATGGTCACGATTAAGGTCAAACTCAAGGACGGCAGTCACTTTCCCCCAATGAACTGAATAACTTCCATTTGGTCATTTTTGGATTTGAGGTTTCACTGACGAGATGTGTATCCATTAAAATGGGGCACGTGGTATATTCATATTTATACAATTTTTATTGATTATATTTTTTCCCAGATTAAGGCCAAAGTTTTATAATTTTTTAAATAATAAAACTGAAATATGGCACAAATTCTGGGTACTACATAAAATTAATTAATTAATTAATTAATTAATTAAATTAATATCTCATAGAGTTGTTGATATTTTTTGCTTAGAAGTGGGGATAAAAAAAGTAAAATGTGTACGTTGTTTTTACTTATATAAATGTATAAAATCAGTTCATAGAGTAACTGCCTAAAGTATGTATTCATGACATAATTTTGATGAATTAATTATCACAATTGGATTTCTCTGTTAAAAATACATCTTTGTGTAAAACTCCGTGTAAGATAGATGTTTCATTGAATTGTACTGCTGTTTTATATTCTTCTTAGCTCAGGACAACTAACGTTAATAATAAACAGTATCAACTATTTTTGAAATAAGATTCCCAACGAAAATTTATCACGAAATATTACATGACAAATTCCGATTTATGTTCAACAAGGAGTTTTCTTGAGCTAAAATATTTCCAACTGGCGTTTATAAATCTGTGCCTCACTATTGCGGAATTGGTTCAAATTCGGCCAAACTCGAGGGAAGCAGGACATTATTAAGCAGATCGCACACTTTCTAAATATTGTTTTATACACGTAAGTTATAAAATTATTAGTGTATAAAACTCCTGTTGTTATGTTATATATGGATTGTATAATATATTATTTTATGACTTAGTGTAAAATAAAATAGTGTATATGCCCGACGGTAAATCATTTTCATCATCCTGTCGAATTTTTGGAGGACCGTGGTGTGCCTTTGCAAGCCACGAATGTGCTGTAAGAACCGTTTTCTATCTCGGTTTGTTTGTTTGGTGGACATAAGTTTTCTTCTTCCCTAAAAACAAATGGTATAAACAATAATACTTACATGGGTTATAAGTTAAAATATAGGTTTACGTAATGTAAATGTAAATGGACCAAGAACAGAATTCGAGACATTTCTCACGCGTATCAATATTGTCAAAAGCAGGGTGATTCACTATATTTTGACCACCCCCTTTAACTTTTTTGTTTTAAGAGTTATAAAAAAATGTGAAATATAAAAGTTGCACGATTGTTTATGAATTTTTCGAAAATGACAGTAGAAAAACAAATGAAGTCCAAATAAAATGGCCGCGGATGTTAACTTTGTTAAGTTAAATGGAACACCTTGCATATTTTTACATATTTGGATAGAACGTTCCCTGTCGAGCATAGTCATATAGGGTTTGTTGGGTTTATCTCTAACAATAAGCGAGATAATATTAAAAAACGAAATGCCTTTTTCTAATTACGTAAGGATTTACAGATTTAGTTAAAATATATTTTGATATATCGGACATTGATACGGTCTAAAATGCGTATAGGTAATGTAACGAAATCTCACTAATTAGGCCGTGAGAGGTCTAATTGCTCATGGACATTATATGGTAGGTCGTGACAGTGACAAGTAGTAAGGTCTTGACAAAATTGTTATCGATTGACAGTTTGTATTATTATTTAATTAAAATAGGTTACATAGAAGTAGAAAATTATTTAGAATTAAAATAGAGTATGGAGAACTTTGCTCTATTTTAATTCCTATAATATTTCAATTTTCTACTTCTGTGTAACCCATTTTAATTAAATAATGATACAAACTGTCAAACAATAACAATGTTGTCATGACATTACCTATCACTGTCACGGCCTACCATATAACATTGTCCATGAGTAATTAGGCCTCTCACGACCTAATTAGTGACATTTAGTTAAAGTACCTATACGCATTTTGGACCATATCAATGTCCGATCTGTCAAATTATATTATAACTAAATCTGTAAATCCTTACGTAATTGGAGAAAGGCAGAAATGGCTGAAAGAGGTTTAACAATTACAAGATATCTTATTTTCTTAATAAAAAAACCTTCTTTTCGTTTTTTAATAGTATTTCGCTTATTGTTAGAGATGGACCCAACAAATCCTACATGACTATGCTCAACAGGGAATGTTCTATCCAAATATGTAAAAATATACAGGGTGTACCATTTAACTTAGCACAGTTAACATCCATGGCCATTTTGTTTGGACTTCATTTGTTTTACAACTATCATTTTCGAAGAATTCATAAAAACTCGTGCAACTTTTATATTTCCCATTTTTTTAATCTCTTAAAACAAAAAAGTTAAAGGGGGGGTCAAAATATAGTGAATCACTCTGTAACACTCAATAATATCACGCTTTTGCTCACTTGAAAAATTCGTTGTCTTTGGCAATTGAAACGACTTTTCAGAAAGAAAAGTAACTGTCAAATAATGCTACAGTAACTAAAAGCGTTATCAGTAAACATTTCGATTGTTTTCACAGCCATCTGCGTCAACGAACAATTGAAAAGTTAAAAACGGCTGCAGTTCTCCCATTTTTTTAAAATAGCAATACCGAATATTCTACATATAGTTGAAAAGCAGAAGAAAGACATTTTTTTCTAGCTCTTAGCTAAATATGGTTTATATTTAAACAACTTGAAGTTTATGTTATAACTTGAAAACGAAAGTGTACACGAACAATTTGATCACACTATCTTATTAACACTAGAAAAACCTGAAACTTTGTGATTTAAATTTTTTTTATAAAATAAATAGCAACGGAGCTACACGCATCTGAAGGAATTGTCTGAATTCGGATTTTTCCAAATATCTAGTCAGCCATGACGTTTTTTCAAAAAATAAAACGAACATTTAATAAGGATCATTAAACTGCACATCTTTCCTCATGTAAGCATTTTTGTATCTCTGCTACTTTGCCAGATACCTACACTAAACATCGAAAAAAACTCACCCTGTATATTTAATCTACATTTAAAAATTTGAATTTGAGAGATCATAATAATTAATGTCCAGGTAGATATTAGTTCCACCATGGCATTATGAAGTTGGAAGAAATAATTTCAGACAAACACCCATAATTAAAAATCAGGGACCAGAGGGCTACAGACCAGTGACTTCAAACTATACATCGGAGCGCTGTAGATAAGCACAAAAAACTTACATATATAAATACCAACGAGTGAACCTAACCTCCAGAGTCAAGTTTTCTTCTGAAGAAGTGAGCGATGTCTTCCGAAAATATTCATATTATGTAATTTTATTGAAAGGTTCTATAGTCATATCAAATCATATATTTTACTTACCGATCATCCTGTTTTCCAGTACCGAGAAACTTAAAAACAATTTTCTCAACATCTATCACCTGCCTGCAGTATATGAAACAATATATTTTCTTTTTCTCGTTCCACCTAACTTTGGCTTCTTTTAGTTTTTGGAGTTTTGGTGATTGTACATAATAGATGTACGTATTGCCTATGCCGCTTTTATAATATCTTTGGTTAGAACTAAAAAAATATTGTTATTCATGAATCTAAGGTGCTGGACGTATTAGAGGATATACATTGGATCCTTCAGTTCAGCTTTTGCTACACGAGTCTCATCATCCACTAAAATGAAATCAAAGAATCCATAATAAGTAGTATCTCCCGCTTTTACAAAAACTGTGACTTTGTATACGTACACTGAAATAAAACAAATATGATAAGTATAACTATTAAAATTATATAGAGAGAGTGGTCCTAAACTAACAAGGTATGGGTACACATGTCCACAAGTGACCTTTTTCAAGTATAACGTCAAGAGCGCCAACCTGACGTCGGACTGGTCTAACAGTTGCAAGGACAAACAACAGACGCTGGACGCAGTAGGGTTCCAGGAAAGGTCCACGGCAGATTGGCGTCAGGACCAGATACATGCGAGCGACTCCATACCAAGATTCACCAGCGAACGCTCGTCCCGACAACACTTCTTTTTCACTAACTTTGTTTTCAATAGAAATACTTTTATTTTTACCGTTGAGAGAGTTTTATTTTGCTGCATTTTTTATATACTCTTTATCAATATACTCACTACAATATGGGTTACGTCCTGCTGTATTTAAATAAAACGACGATTTCTCCGTGGAAGTCTTATACGTCGCAAGTCCAAAAGTTCTGCATGTATTATTATTTTTATTTCCACAAGAAGTACATTTACCCTAAAAAAAAACTGTATAAATTGTTTTCTTTGCATATATGTGTAATTTACCTCATTGAAGTTTTCATAACTATTACATTTAATTCCTAGAAATACGCACTCATTACTAGCCAAAGATTCTATAAAATATTTAAACGCCCTCTTATGACTACATCCAGGAGATATTTCCCCACCATTCAAGGAATTTCTTTCGATTGCGAGTAGTTTGGGAAAGGAATTGTTTACAGGACAGTTGGGTTGTGCAACAGCATTGTTGATATAAAAATCACTGTGTCCCATTGCTTCTCTAGTCCCTTGACTTCTATCTAGAGATAGTACAGTGTAAATAAAGAAGGAATTTAGATGAAACAATCAGTTACCGTCGGAAGCATCGGTGTGAAGTACTTCAACGTATCTGGCATTCGCAGGATTAAGCCTCACAACATCTGGCATACCCTCAAACCTAGGACCGCTTGGATCGAGTCCTGTAAATACATAGGGCGGTTGAGAATTTATACGAAAAAAAATTTGGAGTCAGCGTCAATATTGGAAACGATTTTTTCTTCTATTCTTTCGAGAAAAAAGTTATATAATTACATAACACCACAGAAAAACTTGACGGGGCTATGGATCAGACCAGTGTACCCTATAGTGTTCTGACATACAGAATCCGAATTTCAAAGTCAAAATTTCCAGATTGATTCGTGCTTAACGTAAATAAATTCCGCACACCCCATAACTTGGTTCATGAATTCCAATGTATATCCGACTGCTCAAATCGGTTTGACATCTAGAAAATCACTTTCTAGAGGAGTTTTTGATGTTAGGATCAAAATACGAACCAATCCGAAAATTTTGACTCAGATTCGAATTCAGATAGCCAAAGTAGTATGGGATGCGCTGGTATGGGCCACGGCCCAGCCCATTTTTTTGTGACGCTTCGCTATACAGGGTGTTCCTGTACTTGATACAAAAAGTCGAGTACAAATAGACGAGGTCAAAATAATATCAGTTCATCATATAAATTTTTTTCATACGGGCCTTCGTTAACAAGTTACGGGTCCAAAAAGGTGAAAATTAAAGTTATTTTTATTTACAGCCTCTAAACTATTAACGTCAGCATGATGCAAATTTAGTGCTCGATGTTGTAAGTGAAACTTCATTATGTCCTGAACGCCAGGGATGGACTATGCCCAATGGTTAACAACCCAGAATTTTTGCATAGATGACGATTGCAATCTGCCTGCAACAAAAATAAGTTCCCTGAAGAATTTTCCAACGCTAATATTCTCTTGGTTCAATTCGGTAAAATTAACAGGTTAGGAAATATTTGTGATTTTGTCACAGTGCACATTGAGGAGCGCCTCCACCATTTTTTGTTTTTAATTTTTAATTGGACATAATTACTAAGTATGTTAGAGCCAAAAATATTTTTAAAATTTTACCGTTTGCTAATGTAATTTTCATTAACAAAATTTGACAAATACACTTTACACATAACAGAAAATAGAAAAGAAAACAAGAATAAGTTAAAGTAAGTTAAAAAAATAATTTAAAAGAAAGAAAACTATCAACATACATTTTCAATATGGGCACCTTCCACCTCCACAGACTTCCTAAGTCTACGAATGTTGTTTGTTTGTACACGAAAAAGAATTTCTGGATATGTCTAATATTATCACAATGGAAATTAATTCTTTGTAGCAATTCTATCCCTTATCTATACTGGGGTTGAGTACACTAAACTTTTCAGGTCCATCGGGTTAAAGTCTGGAGAACGTGGAGGCCATGAAGTTGGGCCATTCATTTTTATAAACACAATGGATAAATAATTTCGTACATCAATACTGAAATGGGGAAGAGCCCCATCGTGCATGAACCAAACGTTTCTTCTGGTGTCTAATGGAACATTGTCTAATAGTGGCTGCAAATTATTTTTTAAAAACTTCAAATATTAATGTCCATTCAGACGTTCCTCAAAAACGTATGAACCTATTAAATTATTACCCACTATTTCTGCTCACACATTACTAGTGAGTAATAATTTAATAGGTATATACGTTTTTGAGAAACGTCTGAATGAACATCGACATTTGGAGTTGAATACTTACTTTAACTTATACTTATATTTTTTTCTATTTTGTGTTATGTGTAAAATGTGTTTGTCAAATTTTCATAGTGAAAAATTACATTAGCAGACAGTAAGACTTTCTAGGCTTTTATTTTAAAAATATGTACTGTTCTAACATAGTAATTATGGCCAATTAAAAGTTTAACACAAAAAATGGTGGAGGCGCCGCTAGATATGCACTGTAATATAAAATCACAAATATTTCCTAAACTGTTAACATTACCGAGTCGAACTAAGAGGGTATTATCGCTGGCAAATTCTTCAGGGAACTTATTTTTGATGCAGGGAGATAGGGATCGTCATCTATGCAAAAATTTTGGGTCGTTAACCATAGGACATAGTCCGTCCCTGGCGTTCGGGGCATAATGAAGTTTCACTTACAATATCAAAAACAAGCACAAACAACATTTGTTATCGACTGCCAAAATTGCATCATGCTGAAGTTAATAGTTCTGAGACTGTAAGTAACAGTAACTTTTTAATTCTCACATTTGAGGGCCCTCAACTTGTTAACTAAGGCCCATATGAAAAACATTTATATGAAGAACTGATATTATTTTGACCTCATCTATTTGTACTCGACTTTTTTGTATCAAGTACCGGGACACCCTGTATATTGAATACTATTGGATGATTGTATCTCAAGCTGCCTAACTCGCAAAAGCTTGGAACTTTTCTGATTTGTTTCTGTATTTACAAGGCGATGTCGTCTAATACTTAATATTAATGTACTATAATCATATGTACTTTCCGTTTTTTTTTTTTTAGATTATGTAGGTCAAATTTTGAGCACTGCAGTGATGGTACACGTAGAAATAGATTTTCAAAAATTGGTAATAGTCTCGCATTTCNTATGTACTTTCCGTTTTTTTTTTTTTAGATTATGTAGGTCAAATTTTGAGCACTGCAGTGATGGTACACGTAGAAATAGATTTTCAAAAATTGGTAATAGTCTCGCATTTCTTTTCTTTGTTATCTCACATTTGTTATATACTTACCCACTATGTATGTTCTATTCTGAACCACCCTGTATGTATATGTTCATCATACATTTTTTTATCATCTGTTATCTGTACTTTCAGTTTGATAAACTTTTGTCTCAGAATGCTATTTTACGAGATAGAGTGCATTAAAGTTTTGAAAAGATAAATTATCACAGGAATCTATAAATGAACTTTAATCAAATGTAGTACGTTTATATACGAAGAGAAATATTTCAATCAGTAGAATTCTTGGTCCATCTTTGTACGCAGTGCCATCTGGGAAGCGAAATCCAAAAAAGGATGCTTCCCAGTATTTTCAAAATAATAACAATAAGTTTAGATGTCCAGCATTTGCCAAATCCGATTTGAGAATATGCACTGTTTACGCGCTATTTCGTTTTATTTTGTGGAGATGTATTTTTTGCATTTTTGTCTACAAATTTATTGGTGATTCGAAGAGAATTATACACAGCATCAGATGGGTCTTTTACTAATCAGAAATAATTAAAAGAGAGTCATCAATAGGTTGACCACCTGGCTTACCCGATTTGAATCCTTTACATTATTATTTCTGGGACCTCTGAAAGATACATTTTATAGTAGATACCCATACAAACACGAATTGAATAAACGCAAATTTATAGTGATCTTACTGAATTCGTTACTGTTTGTATTGTGGGTACACATTGTGTGGGTACACATGTTGGTTGCAAGTGACCCATTTTTAAGTACAACGTCAATAGGCGCCATACTGGCGCCGGCCACCAGATGTGGACGAATATACCTACGACCGACTGCACACAGAAGACTCTCCAGCAAACCATCAAATCGTCAACACGTCTTTTTCCATACAAGTGTTCTATTCATTAGTTTTCAATAAAATTCTTTATTATTACCGTTGAGAGAGCGTTTTATTCTTGATGTACAGCGAAAGCAACCTAGATTCTAAATAAAAGGCTTAGCATATAAAATTAACTGATTTTTCTTCTAGCGCGTTAGAACCAAACGAGAAATTACTCATAAACAGTGCATATTTCCCAAAAGAATAAAAAAAGTAGATATAATTTTCACAGATTTCAGAATTATTTTCCAGTTTATAGTAAAATTCCTTGCATAATTAGAAAGAAATCGAAGAAGATGTGTGCTATAATTTATACCTGTAATTTTTTTAATGCCGCTGTATGTAGCGCCTACATAACCTGCAATGTGAGCCCCTACACCATGGCCAATGATGTGTACTTTATCAAGATTGGCTTTGCCTTGTTCCTAAAACGAATCTTTAGTTATTCGTTAGAAAAATTCAGTGGATTCTAATTTAACTTTAATTTCTTTTAACATTTGGATCACTTCCAAAGCCACAACTCTTGCATTTGATATTGCTTGGTCGTATGGTGGGTCAGCACCTCTTTGCCAGTCTACTGATATCACATTAAGATGGGATGATTTATCTAATAGTATCTTCGCCAAATGCTAAAAGTAATTGATCATTTTAGGTAGTTATTAATCGACATATAAGTTGATTAAATATATTTCGAAAAAATCGCAAACACTATTTATTTTAAAATGAGGAACAGACTTGCGCATTTTCGGAAGGGATAAACATGTCAAACCTACACATTTCTGGATGAGGTAAACATGTTGACCCAGATATACCTACTGTCCTTTTTAAAGGGCATTTTATAGGCACCTTTTTAAATAGGTGTACAGTACCTTAAAGCTTCCCGATCAGTGATGGTATTGCTAATCTGATTTCAGAATATCCCAAAGCACGTGCTTTAAGAGCCACTTTAGTCTTAACTCTGTTAGATAAGTAAGATATTGCTTCTGCAAGTTTGTGATTTTTAAAAAATGTTGCAGTCTATTGATTTGAAGCTAGTGGGGGTAAGTGTTATCTGCTAAATTTTGTTAGGTAAAAGGTTCAGACTTTTCATTTTATTTCAAAAGTTGAGGCTAGGATCTTAGATACCTAAGCATTTAGTCCAATTTTTTTTACTGTCCTTTTAAAAAGACAATAGGCATTAGGAATGTAATGTATTTCTATTTCAGGGGTCTCACGTTAAATGAATGACCTTTTGCTAAGTTTCCTTTGTTGCCTTCCATAAACTCAGATGAAGATATGACAGACGAAGATTCTGGAGATGAAAATTTAGAGTCTCGATTGGATTACAAAGACCACTATAATATTGTCTTGCAACCAAAACAAACGCGTTGTACAGTTTGTCAAAAAAAAGTCCAACGAAAATACATGAAATGTGATGTAGCTTTACAGGTAGATTGTTTTATAATATACCATAATAATTAGAATACCCTCCTCTCATTTGTAGATTTTATTTAATTTTACAATTTATTATATGCTATTTTAACATGTTTGTTAAAAATAAAAAATATATATTTAGTGGTTTGTATGCCTACTGTCCTTTTAAAAGGAGGGAACTTTTTAAGAAAACCAATGTGCAAGAATTCTTTTAAAGATTTTTTATGCAATATAGAACCTAAAATTAAACATATTATTTCGTTTTTATTTTAATTTTCGAAAAAAGAGACATATCTAGATTTTAATTATTAAAATTGACTAAACATTTAACTTCAAAACAAAAAGTTGTTTATTTCATTCGTATTATCTGTTGGTAGCCTAGCATTTTAAGCTGGTTCGAAGCCCGTGGCCAGACAACGTTGATCTAGAGTTGTATTTTTGGAGGGGGAAGTAGGCATTGAATTGGCAGTTAACTTAGGTCAACGTAAGACATTGATACTAGTTGCCTTTCGGTCATTCTCAAAGGAATGAGTTCCTTCAGGTTTCTCTAATTACTATATTGAATGGTGGTTAGACCTTACTAACATGTCCTCTATTTGACTTCTTCGTTAATTCTCGTTATAAGAATGAGGGGTAGAGATATTATTACCACTATCATTGTTGTTACCTTACCATTATCATTATCACTATCATTATCATCATACACTTTCGGCATTTCATTTCCGACTTTTTTATTTATTATTTTTATTATTATAAGTATTAAATTCTTATTGGTCACATTATTTATAAAGCAGAGATAAATGCCAAGCTGCTAGGGAAGTGTTCAATACCTCACAACAGGGAATATAATTTATCAACATGATATTGTCTTCATTGTCATTGCTAACTCGATTGGTGACCACACTTTTAATTTCGAGTTGTTTTTACACGATTTGCGTAAACCTTGATCCTTTTTTCTTTGATAGCCTATTGGTCAATCGCATATTCGAGTAGTACTTTGAAATAAAATAATTCAAACTGTATTGACTATTACAGCCTCAGCATACTAATAGTAACGGCTTCCCTTGTGTCCCCTGTCGTACCTTTGACTACATTATTTTTTTGATCGAGCCGTTTTGACCTAACTTTCAATATAGCCAAGATACTCCCAATTCATAAAAAGAGAGATGTTGATAATCTTGGCAACAATAAACCCAAAGTCATTGTTCCTTTCAACTCTAAAATATTTGAAACAATACTCATTAAGAAACTGCCTTCAAGTTTAAAAACACAATCTACTTCATTGCCTTTTTGGATATAAGATGGATTTTTCTGTAGTTAAAGCATTATTAGCAATTTTTTACGACGTAGTTCAGTGTTTTGATAGAGGCACAAGTCAAAATGTGTGACAAAGCCTTTGAATAAGTTAATTTATATATACTTGCCCTTTATCAAAAATTTGGGCCAGTTTAACTTGGATGCCTCATAATAGTCTCTGGTTGAAGCTTGTAAGAGGGGTTTTCTTCAAGAGACAAAAATGTCTTTCGTTAATAGCAATGTGATAAAAAGTTGTAATCTTGCATTAACTCACAGTCATCTGTATTTGAAAAATGTAAGCTTTGAACAAACTGCGTTTTGCAAGTCTGCTCCTCAAATATTCTTATATTTATTTAATTCATTAGTCGTATAAAAGAGACCTTTGATAAATGTGTTTTTGGTATTGATTGTTACAATGAGAATAGATACTTAAGAAAAAATACTTACTTTGATCCATCCGGTATATCCATTGGCAGTAAAATCATGTATCAAAATTATAATGTCGGAATTTCTGTTATATCCAGCAGATTCAATGGAGCTAAGCTTTGCCAACATATTGTTATACAGCAAATTTTCTGAATTCTAGCAATAATTAGTAGTTCATAACTAAATAACTAAGTCATTGAATACATTTTTCTATTGCAATGTACTAATCAAATTTGTAAATATAAATGTATTAATTTATCATCTTTCCTTTAATTCACTAACACTACGTTCGAGTGAAAAGAAAATTTAATAGAAACTTAAGAGTAATCAATATTTATTCTTACTGTGGTAAACGAAGACTTAAAAACAAATTTGTCACTGAAAAAAGTTTTAAGACTTACCGATTTATTAATTTTAATCAGTAAAAAGTCTGTCTTTATAATGTGTCTGTCGAATGGAGGGAGATTGTTTGGCCGCAGTTTCTTATCATACCACCTCGAATTTGTTTCTAAACAACCAATCTCGTCGAAACATTTTCTAGCCGAACCTTTGCATAATCAAGGTTACAACGAATTTATGTAAAATTATGATTTCTAGGAACTTACCTTCACCACCGTTTGAGTCATCTTTGTTCATTCCTATAAGTATGATGTTGTCAGAAAGGAAAGCTACCATTATAATAACAGACGCTGGTATCATTACATTTGTGTTGCGGATGATTTGACATTGACATTATTCCATGTGTCAGGTTCATTTGACTAACCATTACCACTCGTATGATAATAATTTAGTAACATTAAAAACGGTGCAATCTAAATACCGAAACATAGAGTTGAATTTTTCTCAGAAATGTTTCCTATTCAGGTATACAAGGTGTCCCGAAATTCATGCAACAAAATTTGGTCACATATTCTTAGGACAAATTTAGGGGAATCGTATTTTTTATTTTTGCCCAGTGGTCCNGAAATGTTTGCTATGTGTGATCCAGTATATACCTTTCTATTCTATTTTTTATAAAATCCAAATGAAAATCCTTTTCGGTAATATTGCAAATGCAACTAAAAATTTCCAGATTCATTTAAAGCCGTTTGACCTTGAACATTTTAAAATTTTCGCCTGCGACGCTTTTTTGCTCCTTAAACATCAATTAAGGAAGATTAAAATGGAAAAAACATTTTTGTGATATTTTTCTTTATTTATTTTTATTTATTTATTTATTTAATTACAGTATCCAACGGGCAATGCCCAGTTACAGGATAAGGTTACAAACTAAAAAAAAAGTAATAAAAATAGGTGAATGAGATAAAAACTATTATTAAACAAAATAAAAACCACAAAACATAATATCTAAAACAAACAGAGAACAGACAGATAATATTAATATGCTATAATACAATACAAACAAATGCAAAAACATACTTATACAAACATAAAATTCAAAGGAACACTTTCTTAATTTGAGTAATACTGGAGCAGAGAATATCTATGCGAGATTCAATATTAGAATAACCAATAATCATTTGGTGAACCGGAGACGCTTTATATAAATTAGTACAATGATGCTTGATCGCGAAGAGGTGTAAATGTCGGGTATAAGTTCTAGGAATATGAAAATTGATCATTTGTAATATACCAATCTTCACATATAATGTTATTATTCAAGATCTTGTATAAGAAAATAACAGAATTTAACTTGCGTCTTTGAGACAAGCTACTCATATTGAAACGCTTGAAAAATGCTCCCTGAGTAATTCCTTGAGGAGGATACTGGCCATTAATAAAAAATGTAGCTGATTTAAAGAATCGGCGATGAATTTTCTCAATAGATATTATGTGTGTAGCGTAGATAGGTGTCCAGACTACAGATGCATACTCAAGTTTAGATCTAACAAATGTATTGTTTTTTTGGCGGGGAACCCCCTTAAGACAATTTTTCGTGGGCCTTGTCTTTGGAGCCAAAAAATTTGATCGCATATTTAAATTTCTTAAAAATTATCAGTCCACTAGAAAGCCATTAAATTTAGAAACTTTTTGTCTCTTTATACTTTTTTCGTAAAACGCAATGTTTTCGAGAAAAATGTCATAATGTGATCGAATGCATATCATGATTCGCCATTTTCCCCAAAAACATTGCGTTGTACGAAACAAATATCAAGAGTCAAAAAAGTTACTAAATTCAATGGCTTTTTAGCTAACTAATAATTTAAAAAAAAAATCAAATTTGCGATCAAATTTTTCTCAGTCCAAAGACAAGAGGGCCCACGAAAAAGTGTCTTAAGGGGGGTTCTCGCCAAAAAGCGTAGCACTGTGAGATTCTACATGTCATAAAACCCTTGTGTACCAAATTTAGTGATTCTCGTACAACATGGTTTTGAGATATAAAAAAGACTTCTTAGGGGCAGATTTCAGGGGGCTGTAACTCCGAAAGAGGGGCCAGTTGGCAAAAAGAAAAAATACGGGTCCCCTAAATTTGTCTTAAGAACCTGTGACCAAATTTTGTTGCATGTATTTCGGGACACCCTGTACATATAGTAGATGCAAATATGGCTAGTCGGATTCATTGTGCATAATTTTTGTTATTAACATTTTGTTTTATCTCTCGACAGAAAGGGTGGGGGAAGCCCCTAATGTCTGATCAGAAAAATGCATTTTTTTAAGGATTGACTCACTAAAAGCCCATTGTGTTATACCTCGTTGAAAATGTCTTTCCATGCTTCATCTCGTGGTGAATCCGTAATGTCATTTACCTCAATATGGAAACCTATGGAGGGCGTTATTTCAAAAGAATGCCGTTTTACGAATTATTCTCAAAAATTTTAATTCAAATGCTATAGTTTTCTTTACATAAATGAATTCAGCACAAAAAACTGATGAATATAGTATAACTTTGAAATTTCTAACGAAAGAGTTGTTTATTTATTGGCGCTGTTTTTCCAAGTTTACGTTGTTTCACGTTTTCTTAAATATGTGAAATAGCAGGGTAAAACTTTTTATAGGTTAGTTTGAAGAGCATAAAAATAGTTACATTATGACGTTAGAAAGAGTTCGATATCTTTTTTTGTTATCAAGTTATTCACAAATTAGTGAACAAAAATAAATGATCATAATGAATGGAGGAACATGATGGTAAGGAAAAGACATTTAATTACCAAAAAAAAAATGCTTTTATAAAAGAATCTACCTAAGCACGCAGCGAAGGTTAAATTCCTGCATTGAAAATAATGGTATAACTATTAAATATACCTGAACAGGAAAGATTTCTGAGAAAAATTCAACTCTATGTTTTGGTCAGAGCCAGTATACCTGTATGTATATAATACTGGCTCTAGTTTTGGTATGTAGATTGCGTCCCCTAGCGGCTGAGCTACGAACTTGAAAACTATTTCCAGCGATTTTTCTTTATTAATCAATATACTTTCCCTAATATTGTACCTCGCCGACCTTAGTGCGACACTCTGTATAAGATGTAAATATAATACATTTTTCCTAAAATAAAGTAATGCTAAATAAATCATTGCATACTCATGCGATATTAGTTATTTAATTATCGTACCTATATATTTGGTACTACAAAATTCTTTTTTTTTTGTTTTTTTCCTATGCAAAATAGAAATACTTGAGAAAATACTGAGGTATTAAAATATTTTTCCAGGTATAATAAAATTTATATATTCGGAATCCAGATACCCCCAAATCATCATTAGTAGAGCTCAAGCACAACAAGAGGTAGGTACATATAATACTTTTTACCATAACAAATCAAAACAAAACTTTAATTTTTATGAATAAACGACGAAACGACACATGTATAACTAAAAAAAATATATTTAAAATACTTTTTACCCTAACAACTGGTAAAATATCCAAAAAATAAAGAAAACAAAATAAAAAACTGAACTTGAGAAGAAATTACTGAATGTAAGGTCTTCAGATTTTAATAAAATTGATTTTTTTTGTATTATTATAAAAAGTTGTTTTTTATATGTATAATGAAATATTATTTATATTATCCACCATTGGCTAGAACCATTTTTGTACTAGATTTGAATAAATATTCAGTTTTTTCGAATTTCTCCATTTTCCCAATTTTTCTGGGAAAAAATCGGTTTCCCCAACGTTCAATTTTTCTGAAAATTTTGGACTTCTAAGTGTTGAAAAGACAAAAGATAGGTTCAAGGGAATGGAAAGAGGAACATAAAATTGTCATACATATTCTAAGATCATATATTTCAACAATAAAGTGTTTTAAATTTGCTATAATTTACAAATTTGTGTCATTACCCTAAATCTATATACAATATGTACAACGAATCTTTGTTTAAAATATTTTCACACTATCAGATATATCCATTAATTTTAAATTTAAAAATTGGTATTTATTTTGTTGTACTGAGCAGATATATTCGTTTAGATTGTTTTAAGAGGTGTAATTTAAAAGGTCACAAGAAAATATTTTAAACAAATCTTTACTTCTATTAAACATCACATTTCATATGTTGTTTCTTTCATGTTATATATTATATATTTATCTATTTTAAAATTATCATTCAATTCCAATAAACTTTAAAATATCAACAATAGGATAGAGAAGTACTTATATCTCTAATAAATAGACGGAGAGAACTCTTTTAAATTGACTCAAAACTCCGACAGTGTTACACTAAACTTACCTATGTTTTTATTAAAGCTATTTGTTTATAGAGAATACTGTACGGTGCAAAAACTTTAAAACTGGAAATATTAAAGTACCATTCTTAATATTATATGACTTCTATCAATATAACAGAAAGTCCAAATTTTTTAATTATCACTGAATTTCAAGTACTTAAAGCAAAGGATGGTATGATTTCTATGTACTTATATATAAATTTGTATCAAAGAGGTGCCAGTATTTAATAATATTTGTGTACTTAGTGCTATTAATTTAGTAATAAGAGAGGTATACCGAAAGAAAAAAACATATATTTCTTCCATATACGGTTGAGGTTATTAACCGTTTGTTAAAAATTTGATATTAAAATTTTAAACACCGCATTAAGAGGTAATTGCAATGGAACTTGTTTTGACTCAAATAACAAATTATAGCAGTAATGGTACCAGTTACAGTACTAGTCATAGTAGTTTTGAAAGTAAAAAGAAAAAAAATATATTATTAAAGATCATGTAAAAAATATAAATTGCATAAAAATATAAATATTATCGTTTTAATAAGTAATTATTTTAAATTACCACATTTCTAAAATAATAAATACGGTCTATACGTTTTTTTCACCATATACAGGGTGACAAACTTTGATAGGGGGTTAATTTCAAATATATTTTTTTTATATGAACTTAGGTCCGATTCGTTTTTATTTAGAAGTCACAAGCATTTTAAAAACTGTAATTTCATATTTCAATCAAAGTAAACTGATAAATAAATGTATGTTATTTTTATTTGTTAATTTGACATTTAGCGTTAAAGTGCTAAATAAAAAATGCATTTAGTTACAACTGAAGGGTATGCAGATATCGTCTTTGTATAAGGCAATTCAGGTATTTATGGACCGCCGGGATATATGGACTATTTAAATAATTACACTATTTCGCACTAGATGGTAATGTCGTTTATTTAGTATTAGTCGATGCATACTTGTCAACATATGCATGTGTTTTTATTATAATCTAACAAATAATAGGTTAAGTTATTGAGGCAAATTAAAATCTGACACGTTGAAAATTTTCTGAATTTGCCGGTTTAACCATGACATTTAGAATTGCATGAATTTTTTACTAGAGTAATGTGTATATATTTCTAAATAACATTAATTCTCACCACCCAATCTATCATTTCTATAAAACTTCGCTTTGTAGCGTATCTGGGAGCCAGTACGATCGGGATAAATGGACTTCATATATGAGGGGAATACGGTCCAATATTTTTATACTGTAATTATAATTGTTTTAAGAAAATCACTATGCCTACTGTTTATAAAAAGAAATCTAATTCCTCCAGAAAGAAAAATTGTAAGGTAAGGTCCATATTACCCAGAGTCTGGTATATATGGTCTGCAACATATATTTTGTTGATTTGTATTTTTTAGGTATACATTTATTTTTATTGTCATAACGAGTGTTATTTTACTACGTTAATAAGTTTACTTAATCGTCAAGATAATACATTTTAATTTCTTTCGAAGCAACTTAATAGAAATCGTAACATTATAAAGACGGTCCATATATCCGCGACTTACCTTATGGATATTCCAATGGGAACGCCAGACAAGCAACCTGGGAATACGGATGAAGATACCCAAATAAACATCAACCTGCACACACAGTCTTTAGTACATCATTTCGTAGACTTCGAGAAGAAGCTAACCCCGCTCCATTCCGCTAAGGCCATTTGTCCTACTGAAGTGAATGTACAAAATGAAGAAGATATAATAGATGCTGTCATTGACAACTCCTCAAGTAGTGTTCGACACAAGTAATCTTTATTTATTACCGAATTTTGTATGATATGTATTGAATAGAGAAATGTTACATCCGTTTCATCGCAAACTGTACACAAGCGTTAATGCTGGAAACGCTCCTCAGCGATTAGAATATTGTCGCTAGTTACTTGTACAACATGCACAAAATGATAAATTCATTTCGCTTGTCATGTAGTTTTATGAAGTGTGCTTCGTGCTTCACTAGGGAGAGTGTAAATAATAAATCATAATGAACATATCCGGGTGTTACAAACTCTGCATGCAATTAGGTCAAGACGATTTCAGCAACGTTTCAGTGTCAACGTTTGGGGTAGCATTTTCAACAATAATTTAGCGCCCGTACATGTTTTAAATGATCGTTTAATGCAGATCTGTATAGAACTTTCTCGGAAAACAACCTTTTTCATTTCATTGATGACGTGGGGCTTAATATTGTTTATCAATAAGTGGTATCAGCACGATGGTGCATCACCACTTAGAGGGAGAAAAGTAATTGCTTGCTTAAATGATCATTTCCCGAATAAATTGATAGGTCAGCAAGGTCCAATAGCATGGCCACCGCGTTCAGGATGCAGCTAACCAGATAAGAAATCTCATCCGTCGAGTGACGGAATATTTAGTTTGCCGATGTGAGGTTTGTATTCGAGACGAGGGTGGACATTTTCAACAATTTTTATAGTTTTAAGTTTTAAGTCATAGAGCTTGTAGAACACCTTGTATAATGATATTTGATAATAATAAGTTTTGAATGACTGAAGGGCATGACTGACCTTTAGTATTTAGTTGGGACATAGTAACATGAATTTCGTCGTTGTCACATAGGAGATGATGTTTTTACTTCAGTTTTTTTTCTAATATACTTTGAGGTATGTACAAAATCTGTTCAGTTGAAAGTAAGTTAATAACTGTAGAATGCAATTTTAGTTAGTTTAGTTTTTGAAAATAGTATTTTCATGTCACTTTCTTATCAACTAAGTTGTAACAAAATGACATTGTTATATTTAATCTGTGAGTAAATAACCACATTTGTTCAGCAATGTATTTGCTCCACCCTGGACTAACGTTTAAACATATTGTGACTAACACTAATGCACTTAATAATTAATTTTCAATTCAAATATTATGGAAGTTAACCGTGTCAATAAATACAAATATGTTTAACAATGAATATTTCATCTATCGGTATGAATTATACGTAGAGAGCTCTGATTTTGGTTGTTCTTATTTTTTATGCAGATTTTATATGCATGAATATAGGGGATGTTTAAGAAATAATTACATTTCATAAAGTATGCGATAGGATATTAAAAATGAACAAATGATATTTGACAACACTTGTCTAAAGAGAAGAGAAAATTGTCCCGAAAAAACATATTCAAAATTTAACCTCTGTTGCGCTTCTTGGTAGTCCAAAACTTTACGAATTTAATATTAAAACCTTAAGGAAAAAATATTATTTCTTGATTAAAATATAACAAAATTATTACTTTGTTTCTCTTATGTCTCATTTATCAATTTCAAGGAAGTGTCTACTTGTTTCTAAAACATCCCGTATAAGTATATGCCAAAAAATTAATTGTTTTATTAAGTATAAATAAATACATACATGTATTAAATTAGTTAATATTTCTTATCCTTCAGCTCTTCCTGATTTGAAGTTATATATACATGTAGCAGGAATGTGTCTTATTTTGTATTTTCTGTTTTAAAATTGTTGCACCGCATATTGGTTTAATGTAATACTGCCACCTTTGTAACAACAATTACCTACTAGATTTTCGCTAAACTATGCCCGGATAGGCCCGTTAAAACTCCCTTAAATCTGTTGCATAAGACTTTAATATCACCAATCTACTTAAAAAATTCTAAATATAATTGGCAGTATATATTATTTAATTTATACAACTGAATTTGATTTTTATACTAAATGACGAAATGAGAAAACGAAATAAGAGTAGTCTAGTAGAACCAGTCCTAGTTGAAAAGGCGCTGAGGTTTTCACCTCTAAAGATAAAGGCTTCTAATAACACTTAGTGGTCGTTTTTATCACTCTACAATTCTAAGGCCGTTTATTCACTTCATAGGCACCACAATTCCCCAATTTTTTTTTCTCCCATCGTGCCCAGTTTTGAATCGACGACTCCTAGTTTAAGTCTACGCAATGTAATGATTCGTTTATAATTGAATTGATGAAGATGGTCTGTGAGCGTGAAACAAAGATCCCGATTACCAAATCACGGCTCCAATTATTTAAATCAAAATTTTTGGTTTTCTACTTTCCTCAAGGTGGGTCGGATGGTTCCTCCTTATCCCTTATCGCTTTGAGCAGGTGGCTCCGCAGCTCTGACTCCGAACTCCTCCAAAGAAGAACAAGTTCATCCTTTGATAACCTTTCGAGTGGCGATCGTCCATTTGAGTTTCTTGGGGAGCAGTTGGGCGGGGGAGGCGCTGGGGGTAGATCGTCTTCTCTCAGTCGGGACCTAGACCTTGATTTTTCCTTCGTTGATGGGTTACTGCCATCTAGAGACTTACTCTGCTCTGTCAGTTTGTTTCGTTTTGTGACTTCTGATGTATTCGACTGCACGGTTGTAGTCGCATCTCCTAAGCTCTGGTGCCGCGTTTTGTTTCTCCTCGACAAAGGTGGATTGCGCTGTTCCGTCTTGGTTGTATCCTCAATTTGTATTCTAATCTGAGGGTTGGTGTTCTGCTTCGAATTATTGTCGTTTACTCGTTTACTAGGCTTTGTAATGCTCTTAGTTAAGACATTTTGAAGTTGTTCGATAGTCTGCTTGTTTCTCCTAGCTATCTCGTCGTCTGATAAATTGCTCTTATGTTCGATATTATAGTTTGAATTAGTTTCTGAAATGTTGTTGAAACTTCTGGCAGCCGATACCTGTTCCGGTTTTTCCGTTTTACTTAAAGTTTCGTCGCTCTTGCCTAGAGTTAGACTGTACTGCGGCTGTAGGCGGTGCTTGTCGATTGGTTCGCGATACTTGGGTAAAGTGGCTAACTTTCTACCTATGCTCTCGGAGTCTGAAAGTTTCCTCAAAGGTTCCGAATATTTCGCTGAACTGCAGTCCGATAAGTTCTCTATAGATAGGATGGGACTTTTGCCCGATAGTTTATTTCCCGAACTAATAATGTCTAAGTAGCTCGATCGCCTGCTATTTACATCAGGCGGCGAGCTCGTCAAAAATGTGGAAGCGTCCTTGCTTAATCTCCTCCCGACGGCGCTGCTGTGATCTAATTTCAAAGTTTGCGAATTAAAAACGCTGTCGGTGCTGAATCGCCTCACGTTCAGGGTGGTGGAACTCTTGGCTTTATTTTTAGAGCGAGGGCTAAACAGCTGCTTATTAAAGTACGTAGTTGGAGATTTAATTTTTCCACTATTATCCGCTTTCGGACTCGTCCTCAGGAAAGTTCTACGGATAATGCTCGGGCTCAATTTCGACTTTTTCTCCTCCGGGGACAGCTGATATTCGGAGTCGTCTTCTGTCACGGACTCCAAGGGCGGCTCCCTCTCTTCCTGCTGTTGCCTGCGAATAGTGCTTTATATTTAATAGTAATTAATTAGGAATGGTTCTTGTGAACACCTACCTCCTTATTTCCTGGATCATCTCGAAGAATTGCGCTTTGCTCTTTCTTCGCCTGCGCTGTTCGTGTTCCTTCTGAAACAATAATCATCAAGGGGAATACCGAAGAAAATTCTCAAAATACTTTATATCTATCTTACACTAGGGTGTGTTTAAGTATTTAAATGGAAAAAAATATGTGCCTATGTAACCAGAAATAAATAAATGGAATGTTTATTTATGACAAAATAGGGTGATTTTATTATGCTTAATGACAGGGAGACAGTTGTCATCAAATACAAAAGTATTTTATCTGCTCCCATCTGTTTTTAACGAGGTAAGTGGATTTTACCGTAGAAGTGGAAGTTGCTATGGACAACAAACTTACCTCCCTAGGGAAAAAGCAACTTCGAGTTATAAATGCATAATTTATGAACAAATGAATAGAAATATTTTATGAACATTACATTTTATTAATTATTATGAATGAATATTTATAGTAATTGTATGTACAGTCATTACATTCAGTAATATTTATAAAATCTGGATAATTTTTCCCTCGCATTTATTAATTATCACATTTTTCTCAAAATGATGTTACCGCTCCATCCATTTCAGTCACCGTAGGCTCAATATTATCTGACTGATCCATTAAAACAGCATGATGCGACGTACTCCTAGAACTTGGAGTTAATGTCATTGTAAAGAATCCTGTTGGCTATTTCATTTTTGTGACTTAAACTGTCAGCAACATAACTTTCTGCAATTGTGGCTGATTTTCACCGACCATGTCTCTTGATTGCTAATATATCAACTCCTGTATTATCCAGTAACAGTAGTATAGCAGTGGGGATTCCAGACCACTTCAAGGTCACCACCGGGCTGCCGCCATCCGAAGCTAGCACCAGGTCTTCAGCAGCAGCTCCATGGTCACGCTGAAGAAGTGTCAGTGGGGTGCGGGGGTGGGGTATCTGGAATGCAGAAGAAGAAGCCGGGGTCCGTCATCGNCTCATGCACGCGCCTGGTGCCGCCTCTGACGTCACGCTCCTCGATGCCGACCTCCTGGTGGTCATTGCCGATGACGGACCCCGGCTTCTTCTTCTGCATTCCAGATACCCCACCCCCGCACCCCACTGACACTTCTTCAGCGTGACCTTGGAGCTGCTGCTGGAGACCTGGTGCTAGCTTCGGATGGCGGCAGCCCGGTGGTGACCTTGAAGTGGTCTGGAATCCCCACTGCTATACTACTAGTAACGTTGCTGATGTTCTTCGAAATGAATGGCCTGTATATGTTTCAGGATGTTCTAGTTTCAAAAACTGTGCAATCTATTAGGAATCATAGAAAAGGTATTCTTGCCGACTGGATGGTTGTAACATCTACCTGCTTGATAACACATAAAATAGCGTGAAATTTCAGTTTTAATTGCCAATCTAATCTTAATATATTTCTTGAGAATTTCTAGGTGAGAAACAGAACCCAAACGAGAAGTAATTGTAAACGTATGACACATACTATTTTTAGAATCTGGAATGGTAACTACAATAATGTCATCGAAATTTTTGAAATTGACGTTGTCCAAAGTAAGTTTGCATAACTTATCAGAACGGCATGCTTCTGCAATGCCTAAGAACGTCACTACCTTCATTAGCAAATATGTGTTATGTTCTCTTCTCTTGTAAAGACGTTTAACTTTTTAGGTGTATAGCCGTCATTCTTACATTTCAAAAATGGTCGCAGCTTGGGGTATTTTGATATATCCACGTTTTCCTCGACGGAAATAGTTGACTTAATCATTGAGTAATTACTCCACAAACTCGCCGGTGACTTTAAAGTTCTTGACTTCTCCGTGAAATATGCTAGCAGCGACATTTCAGAAACACCAGTATTTTTGTTCTGGCACCATTCTCCGTAGCGCACTTTCGACTTCTCGGGCAATAAAAATTCGCAGGCAGCATTTGCTGCACTTTCTATTTGAAAATCGCTCATTTAGAAATAATTGTTCAAAACCAGTAAAATTGCAACTTTTATGTAGCTTCACACCTTAGAAACGACAAAATCCAAGCAACCAAGGCGACTTTGGAAGATTTCAAATAATGTCAAAATGAATTTATTAAGAAATGTCAAAAAATAAAACCTAATCTTTATTTCTGGAACCATAAAGTATTGTGGGAGCAGCTAAAATGTTATACACCATGCAACAGTTAAGTATAATTATTTACCAGTCTCGGACTCTATTGCCAGCCCTCGCTCCGCTCGGGCGCAAAATCTTCCTCGACTGGTAAATAACCTTCTTTGTGGTGTAAATAACTATAAAGAGTAATTTGAAAAAAAAACAAACACATGTTTTATGAAAATGCACGGTAGTGAATAAAGTATAGTACATAAACACTTGTGCTAACTAAATTCGTTTACATATATACTATTTTTTTACTGTAGCATTCGTGTGAATCCATCGTACATCGATCAATTTTTTTGTAAAAGTTATGAATCACTATGTATAATACCCCTCTTTCCACCAAATATAAAAATAAAAGTATATTAATAACTACCAATCCAATTTAAGACCGTCATTTAGTGTCTTATGTTTTAAGTTTTAAAGTGCTGGTAATGAAATGAAATAAAAATGCATTCTGTAATGAAAACCATTTCAATTAGTAAATTGGTGTATGGCACTAATTACATTACTCTGGTGTAAAAGGACTTCGTTGTAATTTTAAAATTACTGTTCTAGTATCGAACATTTGAGTGTCATGAAATTTAAATAGGAATTAAGCCGTAAAATTTTACAAAATAATAATCACACAGATTCTAGAATTAGTTTTGGCGCAGAACGGGGCGAGTTTAATTACCAAACCTTGGAGTAGAGAGCGATTAGATAGGGCTACGGCTCAAGACCAAACTTCTGTCGAGAGGTCTGAGTGCGTGAATAATTTATTCTCGAATCGATTAAATATATCTGATGCCTTACATTTAATATTTGTAAGAACTAAGGTAAGAAAATTTCTCAGTTTTTGTGACTGATTCTATGGGTATTTATATTTTCTTGCTACGTGTCTATCAAAAAAATATTATATAGCTTGTTGTAGGAAATTTACTTAGTTCAATATAATCCCATGATAGTAGGATCTCATGCTAACTTTGGACAATATTGCACAAAGGAATGTTATAATCTGAGGAACACATTACAGTCTTTAGCTAAGCCATTAAAGGGCCATTATCTTATTATTCTATTTCGAAGAGCCATAAACCTAAAAAACTTGTGAAAGAAAACGTTTCTAGCCATCTCGAACTATCTTTGGTGGTAATTAAAAAAGGAAATTGAAGATATTTGCTTTTCATGAGCTTTCAAGGAATTTACTCGCAAAGACAGTACGGAATGAACATAGGAATTCCATGATAGAACGATATTGAAACTACTTTTGTCTTTTCCCTCTACTTAGGAAAGAAAAAGAAGGATTCGACGAAGAAATGCCTAAAGAAGAGGGTGGTGATAATGTAAATTAGTTTTCAGAATAATTATTCCTTCAGATTCAGGAAGGGAGATTAAATCGACAAGGTAGTAGGCAGAAAATAGTTAAGGCATAAACGAAGCGACGCCCTCTTTGTTCTTAAAGTTAGTAAATAGTGTGATAACAATCTCGGAAAATGGACGGAGTCAGAGTAAAAATATCAAAATCCAGAAAATTCCAAAGAGGAAGTTCTCTTTGGGTTTCCAGACAGTCCGATTTGTTTAACTTTAGAGCTTCAGGATAAATTTGTCAATGACTAATATTTTCAATTCCGTCATATGTACCCGACCCCTTGAATCTTGGAACTAACGTTGTCGCGTGTACTATTTATTTTGAAGTTAAGTGAAAGAGAAACAGTCTGTGCAACACTGTGGATTAAACATTGCCTGAGAGAAACAATGGTAAGTGCCTAAATTTAATTTTCTGAATATAAAATATTTCTAAGCTCCCACTTATGGTAATTCACATTAAAGAAGGTAATCAATATGCACCTTTTTGAAAGATAAAGTCGTTAAGGTACTGTTTGCATCGCAAATAAAAAATAAATTACGTGTTATATGAGAACAACAAAGTGGTCTTTTTCAGATTATTTTAGTAATGGGTATTCACAGGAATTGTAGAATAGAAGAACTTCTAAATATACGTACAGGCTACAAAAGACAAATATTATGTGGTTATTATTTTAAAATTCCAGACAAGGCAGTTCGGGGGGCATTTGTCATTTCAGATGTATTTCATATTATACATATATGTATAGTTATAGGTATCTAAAATAATCTATGTTTCTCCTTAAGTTTACTTATTAATGTGGATTTTAATTAGAAAAGCTAATTAAAGATGCACCAATCAAGTAGTTTGTTTTAATAACATAAGAAGCATTCGTATAGAAATCACTGCATATTCAAAATTTCCCTGAAAATGTGGAATAAACTTGACCCACTTAGAAATAGGGAACCCCATTAGGAACCACTATTCGCAATTTTCAAACAATGAAACTAATGATAGTAGATTAGTTTGAGTTGTAATTTTTTTAAATTGAAACAAATAAATTTTCAAAAATAAATAGCCATATTATTGAAACAATATATCCAATTAAATTGATAAAGCTTTTTCTGTTCTAAACCAAGAAAGTATTTTTCGTTTCAGTTAATTGAGGTGTCCTTTTAACTCTTAGGGAACAGAGTTAAAATGTTAGCATTTTATGACAGTCTTCGAAAAAAGTTATTTCATGTCGTAGAAAATATTTAGAAACATGAATAATTTATTCCCAAGTTCTTTTTCATAGAATACACATAGAATAAACCACCCATAGTTAAAAGTTAAAAAAACTTAGAAACATAGTTACGAATGAATCATTGTTTCGCACAGAATCACTTTATTGGGATCAAAAATAATCGGACGTATTTATAGATTCAACTTTTCCATAAATGTGTAGCTTTAAGCGTTAATAAATTAAAACAAGAAAATAAGGATTAATCTATGACGCTACTGCTGTCGAGCTGCTAACATTGTCAAAGTTCTTTTACGTTTACGCGTGAATGGACCGTTCTATGCAAGAAGTTGAAGAGACAAAAAGTTCAAATCAGGGAAGAGATTATCTGCGATATCATTGGTCAGACCTCTTATAATTCTGAAGCCAATGGTTAGACTTTGTTCAAATTTTAATTGTGACAGAACTGCACTCTGTAGCTACGAGTTTTTCAGTACTTCTTGAATAATTGCCTACAGTTTCCCATTTAATCTTTGAAGAGTTGTAGAGATGTTAAGAATCGTTTTAAAAAAATGTTACTACTGTTTAATTTGAGTGGAATATGTCACAATATTGCTGTTACACCATGTATAAACTCGAATCCAGTAGTAAAGATGATGATTCTCTATAACTTTGATGATTGATAATTTTTAATTGATTGATTAATTTTTAATTTAATCTAACGCTCTTTTAAAATTTAAAATACACATTATTTAAATACGCCTAAAATTCTTCATGAGGTCTATTACTGAAAACATTACCATAAACTTTTTCGTCTCGTCTGGAACTATCGGTGAGATGTTAATTGAATTTTTTACCCTATATCTATACTTTAGAAACTACTATAAATAACGTCAGATAACCACCATTTTAACGTTGTCGATTCAACAACAGCCTTAATATATAAATCTTAAAACCATGCATAATCGAGGTATTATTCTCTAATTGGATCCTTGCCAGACGTTGACGATATTCGAGGCTTTTCGAGTGCTAGCTGCACTCCTAAAAAGCATTTGGAGAAACGAGATTAAACAGAACTAACATAATCACAGTGCTTCTGTATAGAAATCCACTCTTTAGAGCTTGAAATAAGTTTAGTGAATTAAGTTTTGTGAATACAAATATGAAACTTGTATTTACGACCTCACAGTTAAATAATTGTAGCTAATTAAAAGTTTAGCTGTCTATAGCAAAGATACAAGTTTTTCATCATTTTTTATTACATTCGACTAACTGCTAGATGACTTAATTTCAAGTCGTATGAAAAATCTCGAAACACAAATTATTCGGCTAATAAAAATATTAAAGAAAAATGTTCCAATTTTAGACAAGTTTTCAATCCCCATGACAGAATGAATTAAATGTTCTACTATTTTAAACTTAACACAATTTTAAATTAACAGTACTTCAGTAAATCGATATAAAATGATTTCTTTTACTAAAGTCACCAAAGATTCTTTATAACAGTTCGGCTATTGTTGTAGGGCATTTTCTAGGGCTATCTTGTTATACAGGGTGTAAAATATATTAACGGACTAACTTTGAAAGCATACAAAATACGTTAAAATAACGGCAGTTGTTTCTATTAATTGCTTCCTTGAGGATATATAGTGTTATTTCCTAAGCAATTCCTGAGAATAATTTTAAAATTTGTAGGTATTTTACACTAAAGCTACTTGATGAATTAAAATTTTCAGTGAGATATTGTGTAATTAATTAACGGATAGCATTATAAATCCGACGCAATCTAGCTGATTATGGTTGGGCAGATGGAAATGACCTTGAGGTTACTAGACTTTACCAGTGGATTTATCTAGATTGACAACATGTGGATCACAGAACATTTGCTGGGTTGTTTCAGCGTCTCGCAGAGAGTGGCACTCCATTTACAAGAGTAAGACTATGAGAAGTTCGTATAGCAAACTGAAGAGCAAAATTTAGATGCCGTTGGTGAGATTCCAAATTATAGCACTCGACAACAGGCAACTTACATATATTTTTTAAATGTTTAGAAATCTATAACATTATATAAATCAGGTAGGTAGTGACAATATCATAAATCTCTTAGAGGTTGTCAATTAATAATTAATTATTAAATCTTGACACCCAAAATAAGTGATAAGTCTAAAGAGAGCCAAATCCACATTGCTTCGAGGCGCATGCGCGTTTCTTTATATTAGTTTCCATCTCATGGGCATGAGAATTACGACTTGATGGCAGCCGGCCGAGAGAAAGAAGGTTGTGTTCACAATCACACTAATTGACGTCACGATGAACCACTTAATCACTTCGCAAAACTTAATTTTTTTCATAATTAATTTGTAACATTAAATTGTTTCACCACTATTAGTTGTTGTCGGACTACAGATTTATACAGTTTTTAAATTAAATTTTCATGCAATTAGCTTATTAACCGCCGCATCTCTTGTATCCTTGCCATTTTCAATGGGTTCTTAACTACAAATTATCCTGCACAGCATAATCCAAAACCTCGGTGTTGTTCAAATATGAAGCAACATTTTCTAGAATGGTATTTAAAATTTTCACAATCAACATCTATGGGCAGACAAGGGTATTACAGGAGATTTTCTGATTGGTCCACATGTAATACCTCTATGTCTTAACGATAATATCTATCTAAATTTTCTTTTTTTATTACACTCTCTACCACAACTTTTGGAGGACAGACACCCATTTAATTACAGAAAAGAGCTCATATTTGGGTTTCCATATCTCAACAGATAAACAAGCAGAGGAGCACCAATCGCTTGGCTTCCACGGTCCCCAGACCTCAACCCCCTTGATTTTTGCATGTGGGTACATTTGAAGTCCTTAATCTATAAAATGTCCATTAATAATGAATGTAACGCATATCAGAAGCTATTGAAACATCAGAAATACTTTTTACTTACAATACTTTTTTTATCTTTTAAGAGATCTTGTTATAACTACATGAGTATTACAGTGGCGGCGTACACAAGAATTAACGAGCATTCTAAGAAACCCATTATAATTTTACTACATATTTGATTTAAAAAAAAGGCATTTCAACCCCTAAAAAACCGTCCCTCCACTTAAAGTTACACCCAGTATATTTAAACAAATGCCATAAATATATTCTATTTTAAAATAATAATAATAACCTCGTTTTTGATTAGCCCTAATTTTTTAAATTCTTAAATTTGTTAATGAAACGAAACGAAAGATTGCGGAAATAATCTTTGAAGGATGAGTGAAGTGTTTCTGTGTGTAGAAAGAAATAAATTAGACCATACGAACCCTTTTAATGCTTTTCTGGAAGAGGCTGGTGATTTGTCCTTGTCTAATAGTGTGGACCAGTTCCCTGGCGGCGTGGTGCGGTGAGACCAACTCCACGCAATTGATGAACCGATATAGCTTCTGCAAACAAACACAAAAGGCATTATTGTATTGGGTTACCTCTATTAACAGGGTTCTACTAATAGACTGTATTTATGTCACGAAAGCTAAACATATTGCTTCTAAAGTTATAAAGCAGAAAATATATGATGTCCAGTTCACATAATTTCTTAAATATTTTTAATAATTTAAATTCAGATCAATGTCAAGTATCTGTTATTTAATTGCTTATTTCACACAATTCAAATAACTTCTAAAAACTAGTATGACATTTAAATATTTTTAAATAATCTTCTAGCACAAGAAATCCTTACTCGTAACATATTTTTACATGTTTCAGTAAATTTACGGATTCTTTTATCTAATTTAAGACTACTAAAGTTTAGAAAAAATTAAATTAAGTGTTAAAGTGTACGATTTTTCGTTGAGACCGAATTCCTTTGTAACTGCAAAACACAGTATGCACTGCAAGCTGCTACGCCAAAGTCTTTTTTTATGTGATTTATTTGTGTTTCTCTCAATAGTCTGCTAACATATTCTTTGTTCAAACTCATTCAGGTCCTGGTGCATTATTTCTCCTTGTTCGTCACTAAAAGCTCCCAGATTTTCTGAGAACCAATCAAGATGAGAATGAAGAAAATAAGTTTCAAATTCATATGACATTTAGACAGAAGGTGGCAGAAAAACAGAGAGATATAAACATTTAGTCATTTAGTCAGACAGGAAGATAGACAAATTTACCGACAAAAAGCCAGTTTTAAAGACAGGATGTCAGGTAGATGGACAGAAAATACACGAGGACGATAAATACAGACTAACAAGCAAACAAACAGGTGTGCAGGTAAAATGCAGACAGATAAACAGACAAAAGTAGGCAGGTAGGAAATTTTATTTATCTCCTATTCTTACTTTAACCTTCAAACGACCTTGAATATGAGGTGAGTGTAACAAAAGCCGGGACGCGTAGTAATTTATTTTTAGTTCTGGGAACGGATGGACCAAAAAGTAAAATAATTCAGTTAACACTAATTTATCGAAAGTTGAGGGCTTAGCGTCGTGCTTCGGAGAAATTTAGCAATATTTTTTTACTAATTCACTTAGAGTCGGGGCCATGTGACAGTCATCTGTCGCGTCCAGGATGCGCCAACCTATGCTGTAAGCAGGACAAGGAAACCAATATCGGTAATAATGCGCGAAACCACGAGAAGAGCGTAGAGAGGTTCTAAAGTAGAATTAAATCAAATTGTTAAATTGTTAGTAATTGGAAAAAAAGTAATAGATGAAATAGCGGTTTTTTTTGGCGGATTTTCCAAGCTATAAGGATATATTAAATGAGATCGACTAATCCGTCCCGTACCACTACACGGAGTCACTAGAGGAAGGCTAGGGTTATTTGTAAGTTTAGTCTCAAAATTATTTAGATAACTATTATCATGGCATAGTTATGCCAATGCGTCCCGATATCCAGGGTTCCCGCCAGTAAGATAAGAACAGAAACGTCTGGATCAAAGAAATGGGCGTGTCGAAACGAAGGGTCGAATTCAGGAGAGATCTACGAAAAAAAGTTAGTTCTTCCTTAGGTTCCACATTGAGCAGTTGACTTAGTTTTAGAGTCTCGGGCTAATCAATTAAATTTAATAATGGATAAAGTTTTTTCAAAATTTTTGCTATGAATCTCGCATTCCCTGAATCTCGGTATGCTGTCGCGTGTAAATAAATAAATTAATAATGTTATTCGAGCCGTTGTGTCGTTATTTTGTTTGTGTTGTTTATTGTTATTAAAACCCTTCCTGGAAGTTTTGGTGTTTCCTTTTGTTTCTCTCAACTTTAGTGTCACCCTGTACAGCCAGTCACTGATTACATTCTACGTAAGCAATGGATGGTAAGTGCTTTAACTAATACAGCTACATTCTCCGAACATACAACATTTGTAAGTTCCCACGTATTAATTAAAAGGTAATGATAATTATAAACTCCCTTTCGAGAATTAAATAGTAAACTCTTTTGAAATCCAGACTCGTTATGATACTGGTAATAACGGTAGATAGATAATTAAAGAAATAACCCCTCAGGTTACATGATAGAGGTCAACCGACATTGAATTCAGCTACCCGAAAAACCTATGTATGAATTTTTTCAACCACCTTCTTAGTTTGACCTTCAACCTTGAACCTGACGTAATAGAGGCATCGGAGTCAGCGACCCCAAAAACCCCTGGGTACCTAGGTGAAGTCCAATGTCTTATTTCAAACTAAATTGACGTGTGTAATTGGTGTTGAAAGTTGAAAAATAGCATCTTTTTCGATATCAATTAGAAAAAAACGTAAATAAAAAATAAAAAAATTGAAACACCAGAAGCTATCACAAATTAACGTATTTTAGATATTCATACGGGGGTACTGTATTAGGCATACAAAGTTAGTAAATTTTGAATAAATTTAATTTTTCAAATATTAACACCTAAAAACGATTGCAGTATGCTTAGGAATTACAGTACTATGGCAGTTATATTTTACAAATGTGTGTGTATATTTTTAATAAAAGGAATCGACATTCTTTTTAACTTATTATTTAAATGAATTGTTTATTTATAAATCAGAATGTTACGTAATCAATAAATTTAATAATAATTTTAATATCTTTAATTATGGGGCACTAAAGAAATGTTATAGACGTTGTTCACGGCGCATTCACCATTTTTTCGAATGATCATGTCTTGACAATATTAATGCCTAGATCGAGAACAGAGTTAGAGGTGTGAAAATATATTATCAGAATTTATTACTTCCTCGGAGGCCGAATGCGGTTAATTGGAATTCAACAAATTTCATATGCAGGTACTGTGATAATAAACCATTAACCATATTAGATATACAACTTTTCCTAGACTAACAACTGTCAGGTACATGTAATAACCTTTTTAAATATTTACAGCAGATATAAATAGTAAAGTTCTAAAGTATATCTAAAAGTCCTCACAGTTAACCATTAAATTTAGAACCTATTTCATTTATATTAACTATTATTTAATTGTATTTATTTTCGATTCTTTGTAATATGTATATTTTATTTTTGTCGCTCTAACATCACTTTTGAAAAATACCATCACATAAATATAGTCACGATGAAACAGATCTATTTCCCAATTTTGAGAATTACTTTTCCAATGGCAAAATGGAATTACTAAAATAAAATTATATACAGGATGATTAAGTCATAATGTCCGAATTTTAAAAAAATCGAAAAAAAACAGTCACCGCAAAAAACCTGTGATTTTCACCCGTTTTTTCACAATTCGTAGAGAATTAAAAAAATACAAAAAAATATGTTTTTGGTCGCAAATTACTTGTCGTAAAAACTGAACTGAGCATAGCTTTTAGTATTATGAAAATTTTAAAAATCACCCCTACTGAGGGGTTGAAAAAATGCCAAAAATGATGAATTACCAATTGATATAATAACTATTAGCATGTGAATTATCTTAATATACTTTTTTTTTGGAATTTTTACAATTATTTTTGATATTCTCTATTTTTTGGGATGATTCCACCCCCTCAGCGCGCTTAAGGGTGGATTTTCTAATTCAACATGCTTATTTCAGTAACGAGAATAAATATTTCTTTGTATCAAGATTCGATAGAAAAATTCACATGCTAATAGTTTTTATATTTATTGGTAATATTGAATTCTTCATTTTGGGCATCTTTTCAACCCCTAAATAGGGGTGATTTTTGAAAATTTTCAGAAAACAAAGCTATGCTCATCTTAATTTTTTACGGTTAGTAATTTAAGACCAAAAACATGTTTTTATCTATTTTCTTTAGTTCTCTGCGAATTGTGAAAAAACGGGCGATTTTTGCGGTCACTCTTTGCTCGACCCTTAAAAAAATGAACAATGTACCTCTTTTAACTCAAAACTTTAAATCAAAGTGCAGGCGGATCCCAACCTTATTAACAAAGTGCTATGGACGGTTAAGTGAGTGTTTTTTTTAGCCGTACTGTCATTTTAAATACCATACTACTCTTTGAAAAGTAATGTCACACAATACACGTACTACAAACTGAATAATTAATTGAACACAATACTAAAAAATCATATTCAATTATAAAAGAGAGTGAAAACGTCATCACTCTCTTAGGACGTCAACAATAATAAAAATACTAAATTGTAGTAACCTAGCATTCAATAACAATTATCATTCTTATACATTTGTTTTTACTTACAAATAAATAATACTTAACACTTAATAATATTTAAAATGTACAAAAATATCTTAGTCATTCATGGGTCTATGTAAAAAGCTCTGTTTATTCGTTGTCGTTCACTACGGATTAAAAACATGTTAAAAGTTAGTTTAATAACCGATTATTACGGTAGGGTCCAGATAAACTCACGGTAAACCTTTGTAGGCCAGCGGTCAGGAACGATCTGAAAAGGGGTTTAAATAACGATTTAAAAATATATTTTTCAAGGTAAATATGCAATTTATTTTTTTTTAAATCGCGTATTCATAATCTACTAATTTTTCCCTTTTTCCTTTAAAATTAATGATATAATGTCTGAATCACTCTGTATAAAACACAAAACTAAGAAAATTACACTTTGAAACAACAATATGTCAAGTATCTGTATTTCAATTAATAATAGCCCATAGAGTTGCCCATTGTTGACCGCAGTATCATCATTAACAAATCCTACCTATGAGGTTATATATATTTTACGTATTGTGAGTTTTGGGTATTAAAGAACATCGTTTGACTTCATTCGATAGGATTTTTTAGAATTTTTTTAAAATTTATTTGTAGATACTAAAAACTAGAAACACTGACCTGACTGAAGAACATAATATTCCTGCTGCGCCAGATACTTCCCTTTGGCTTATCCCTAAGGATGGGTAGCGTGTATCTAAAAAACAGATGTTCCACCAATAGTATTATTAGTCCTAGGGCGATGCCTACGCCAAGCAGAATAAACACTCCTGTGACCGCGGCGACCCCCAGGGGTCTCGGCTGCGCTATTTCCGTGGCCAATTTGAAGCATGGTAGACCGCCGTACCATTTCTCTTGCAGGATATCCATATACCCATTGCTGGAGTATTTGGCTATCACTGCCGAAATACTATCCTGGAATAAAGTTTTGTTCAATTAAGAAACTAAACTGTTAATTGAATATATAAAAATTAGTTTTTGTTTCGAAGAGCGATAAGTTCTCAGTAGTAATTTGGTTTTCAAGAAATTCACCGTGTGCTCTTATTTACATGATTGTTTAAAGGAATACAAATAATACTGAATTATTCTTCACCAGCACATTTACCTTTTTCTACGTATAAAAGTATACTCCTCTGGTGTATACACTAAAAAAGTGTATTACATTGTTCATAGACAACATTATAATAATTTTTTTTTGAACTGATTCATTTCGTCAAAGACTTCACCTTCTCGCCCATTTTCACACACAATTAAAGACATACTGAAAAGGACGAAATACCAGTTCAAAAATTCCTTTGAATATTCTTTCAAGGCAATCCAGCTAACTCCAGATGATATCTTAGTGAGTTTAAACAAGCTTCGGAAGTACTTCATCAAACGCTCATCGCAGAAGACGACACATGAACTTTCTTGATGGTTCGGTAGACTCAGGCTCTCTTGACAAAATTGTGCACCAGATGGTGAGTTCACTCTTGTGCCAAACCGTGACAAGTATCTGTACAGCTATAAAGCCAGTTTAGATATGTTGACAGTAAATTAGAGGATCTGGCCTTAAGAATATAAAGCATAGAAGGACTCCTGGACCACATCAGTGGAATACATCCAGGCATCATCATCAAGCTTTCCGTTCTAGACGTCCTTGTTAAGAAGAAATTTGACAACACCATAGCTCACAATGTTCGCAAAACACCGACCCACATGGATAGATGTCTAAATATTAAGTCTTATCACAATCTGACCCAGAAACAATGTATCAACACCATAATAAATCAAGCACGTAGAATCTGCAGGTCAGAACATTAGGACTACGAACTGCATCAATTACGTTCAACTTTTAGAGGAAAAGCAAAAGTATCAGGCAAGTCAATCAGTAGAGTATCTAAGAACAAGGAAAAGAAAGATGACATATCCACTCCATATACAAAGCTGCGCTGAAAAAACTTGATTGAGGAAATATAATATTAATATCGTCTATAATACTTCAAGAAAGATAAAGTAAGCCTTCCCTAAAGTTAGCTACAAGAACGATGCAGTTCAATACATATATCAGTGTATACAGTTTCCTATGGCAAAGTCTAGACTGCACAAAAAGAGACACATTAGCCCAAAGTAAAAGGAACACAAGTGTGTCCTAAAATAAGTGTATTAATATATTACATATAAATTATAAAATTATGTTCATAGACAATTATCCGTATTTAAAAATCAAGAACAGAAGAAAGATCAGGCATTTTAAATTAGAATCTGAGGGGATTTATATTTAGGTTTATGTTACTGACGTTAGTGTGTTCTCGCCAGCTGACTCATATTCGTACTATCGGCGCATGACGTCAGTAACGAGATGCATAATTTAATTTTAACACACACAGTAGCTACATAACGTAAACAGATAACTATTAAACCAACATTCGCAGATTAATTTTGTTTTTGTTTACATTGCTTTAAAAAATAGTCTAGCACCGATTCAATAAAGTTGTTTAATAAGAAAATAACACTAAAAAATGCTGTATTTTGTTTAGAATGTTATGTTTTAATAGCATCTGTTATAATTGTTTAAAATTCGTCCCTGTCTATATTTATGGTTACACACATACAAAGTAATTGGAGTATATTTCACTTAAAATAACTCGATGTTAGAGGTCATTGACACGAGATTCACAAACTAAAACAGTGCTTTTATAAAATAGTACACATGCTTTTTACAAAAATACTTGAAATTATTTTAAAAGATATATCAGTTTAGTACCTACTTATGTTTTAATTTTATTGTGAATTTTTTACAAAACAGCAAAAATAATTACTTTCAAACAAATTAGTTTTATTTGCAATCATAGTAGGATCGTATTCGATGCAAAGTAGAGCAAAAAATTGTCGGTCTTTTGTTAAAGAAAAATCGTGTCATCACTTTTCGGAGGCGTAAGATGAACCATTTCAAATTTAAAATGAAATTGAATATAAAATTTGAACAACCGCTGCATACGCACTGTGTTCTGGTAGTATCTGTAGTCGCCCAGGTGCAGCGATTGTAAATCAAAACCGCCTCCAAAAAAAACAAGTAACCAACAGTGGCGCGTATAGAGGTAAAATGTAGTACATATGTGGAATTTAAAAACACATTGAATATAATAAATTACATTTAAAATAAATAATTTATGAGAATAAAAGAACTTTTGTACGAACAAGGGTGCCAGACGTAAACTGATCCCTTCACCCCTTAATAATGCATAAATAAATTATTCAACTTCTAAACCCCTTAAAACCGTATTGCACTGGATCTCTTGACAGGCAATGATTTATTACTTTGCATCGAATATGATCCTACCTGTGGTACGCCTAGTCACATACAAATATTAGATCATATTTATTTAATTAATCATGGAAAAAATATTAACTTTTGACAAATACCATAAAATGATTTTAATGTTTGATGATTCGTCCGCATTGATATTAAAATATGTTGGAAAACAATATGTCGTATAAAAGGTAACAACTTCCAAACTAGTACCACTCTGAGGTCTGAGGCTGTCCAGTGGCGGCGAACTCAAATTTTAATTACAATTTATAAAGCGAATTGTGACGTGATGAAACATGCACTATTAGTTACCACAAAAAGACTAACCCCTATTTAGTTACACACTATTTTCTCACGTTCCATTTGAAATCTTTTACTGCAAACCTTCATATTACACTTTACAGACTCTCTCTAAAATTATTTTGTTTGCCTGAAACTAACAATCAGTGTATATTTATAGTAATTTTAAAATTTACAATGAATAAATATATTTTTCATCATTAACATTATTAATTAAATTTGTTATTATGAACTTTTAATATATGTTCCAAGACAGAAACGGAAGGTTTTGCCATAAACAAAGAGTGGTTTTAAGGAATGGTTTGATAGACAATATGAAAGGGAGAAGAGATGTTGCTGAATCCTTCGTACAATAGAGAAATTCATTTTCTAGCTGAGGTTAGGCAATAAATAAGCCGCGGTAGTGAATTCTAAACCGGGTTCTATACTTTTAAGTCAGTTTTGAAATACAGCGTAATAAAGTTCCATACTCTGGCTATGAATTTCACATTCTACGTAAAGTAAGTAGGCAGATAAATTTTCTTCACGGACCTGCAACACCATACATAAATTCCTCGCTTTATTTGTGTTATTTACCTTTCGTAAACAGTATGTTAATCTAAACTAACTGACTGCCTAAGGGAAATAGCAGAAAAGGTAAAGTAAACGAATCGCTGCTTTATGAAAAATCATAAGAAAAATTAAAATATTTTTTATATACAGTGCGTATGTACGTGTACAACTGAGTACCATAGATTTCTGCATTCAAACAGTCCGATATAAATTAATTAATCTATATCTGAAATCGTGTGAAGTAATTGTTGGTATCGTTTGTCTTATTTGCACATTTGTATAATTGTTTTGTTTGTATTAGTCTTATTTACTGTTAACAGAAATCTTCCTCCTTCCGGTGATTTCAAGCTCTCTTTAAGTGACTAGTTGAGTGATAGTGAAACAGCCTGCATGTGTTTGAATTTACATATTGTCTACAACATTTCTAAGATCCCACGTATCGTAATTAAAGTTTAAATAATTAATCAACAAAATTAAGGCTATTTTTGTACTGTTCGTAACAACTAATAAGGTTCCAGTACACATAGAATACATAAATACCGGCCAGAGGACTTAACTTCTACGAAAGATACCTTTCTGTTCAGTGCAACATGAAAATTTTCTTTAAAAAATAACTCAAAATCTTCAAATATTTTTAAAACGTCTTTGGACAATACACAAAATATTCATAAATAGGTACACAAATATTTTTTTATGTAAACAAATTTTTTTTCATATTAGAACTTTTAAAGCTGAGAGCTTTCATATTATTTCTAAAGATTATAAATAATATTTTGTAAATATTTATTAACAATCAGGGCGAGTTTTATACACTCATTAATTACCTGAAGAGGGAAGCCCTTTGTCATTCCTATCGCGTAAGTGTCCTCGTTTATGGTGTCACCGATCTTCTGCAGCTTACACCCATGGTCCGTAGCTCGGTAATAGTCGAGTATTGGGGTGTCGGCAATTAGAATATCTAATGAGCCATTTCGCAGTCTTTCCACTCCTTCCTCTACGTTCTCCAGGGAATACTTGTGCATGTGCTCCCACAGCATTTGGTTGGCCTTTTGGACGTAATATTCGGCTGCCGAAGCTCTTGGAGCCCCTACTTTCTGGCTCAGGAGCTGTAAGAAAAATGGCAGTTCGTTAACTCATGGTAATTATCAGAATATACAGGATGTAAAAAAAATAGTGCAATAAATTTTGAGAGTTTGTAATACTATAAAAATCTGTGAAAAATGTGTCTATACACATTCCCTCTCAAGGTTGCATTACAGCTCATTAAATGGTAAATTAAAAAGTTGGTTTTATTTTGTAACAGTTGTTAACAAAATGTGTTAAAATTTTTTAGACTTGTTACTAGACGGTGTGACGTAAAATTCATATATAATTTGGAAAATTGAGGTAGTAAATAAGGATTATTTTCACTGTAACCTTTTAAAAATCCTACTTGAAAATAAACCTTCAATAAAATTTCAAATAGATAAAAACGAATTTTAAAATACATAAAAAAATATCGTACCAAATTTAAAAAACAGTTTATATCAAATATGAATTGAATTAAAAGGTCCTAATATAGTACATAATACGACCTTACATGTTAGATTATTTATTTTTTATTTATTGCTGATAGTATACTCCTTTCATCATATTATGGGCATAAAACTGACTGTTTGAATATTCGGTGGTTAACACATTTTTTTTTGAAAAGACGTTTTTAAAATTTTAAGTGGTACTCTCTTATATATTATTTATTGATGTACTAGCAAATGAACATTTCAGTGATACTTGGTTAATTCAACTAGAATCATTCCTAACCTAAAAATTAATATTTTTTACGTCAGCCAATTTGCAAAATACAGGTGTCCAGATGACCTCATCACGACTAGGTCAAGGTCAAATGAAGGTCAAAAACATTAACTCGAATGGTACAATTTTTTGACCCCTGATTCTGAAAGAGCGGAAAATTTTACGTCCGATTACGCTTCGACCTGTTGGTCGAACCGACCTCTGAACGTCATTTGAAGATCATCTGGAGGTCAAATCGTTCTTTTGATCTCTCAGCTGATATCTTAGCTAGGAATGGCTCTCGAACCAGTTAACCTTTTGGGTTTTGGAGTCGCTGATCACGATTCCGGTGTCCATATGATCCCATCAGTCTAGATCAAGGTCAAATTAAGATCAAACACACTGACTCGATTGATACAATTTTTTGATCCCAGATTCAGAAATTGTATCATTCGAGTCAATGTGTTTGATCTTAACTTGACCTTGACCTAGACGTGTTGGGATCATATGGACACCGAGATCGTGATCAGCGCCCCAAAAACATAAAGATTACCTAGTCTGGGAAAAATGACTTTTCGGTTTCTGTTTGTGGGTCTGTGTTATGGTTTGAGATGAGAGTAATATACATATAATATAATATAATGTAATCCTGTCAATTATTTTATGTAGACATGTTAACAGCAAACAATAAACGATCTGTAAACTCATTTGTGTTTATTTCTACAGTTTTCTACTCTTCATTTCTTTTCACATTTCATTTATTATTAGATTATTGATTTCTATGTTCCGATATCTGGTTCTGATATTCTGAAGTACGTAATATATGCAACTAATCTGAAATTCAAATTACGTTCTACGAAATAAAATTGATTAGGTATGCTAATATATAACCAACAACAAAAATATAAATGAACATCAGGGCGGGACTAATATTTTTGATAGCGAGTTCGCTCCACTAGTCCGAGAATAATAAGGGCAGGTCAAAGATTTCTGGCTAAAGCTAAGGAAGTGCAATGTATGACAGCGACCAGGTGCATACCTAGGCCACGACATAACTTGAAAAACATACCAACATACATTAAATATCAGCACAGCCCTTGGTATCCTTAAAACCACTAAATTACAATTCGTTGATGGTATTTTAAGTGGAATAACGATTCCATAATAAATTTAATATAAAGTTATAGTTAATTTGAATGGCTTTGGAACCCGAAAAATGAAAAACCAGATGTAGCCGCACTAAACAAGACTCATTGATTGAATCAATGAAATTATTGGAACCATTTAAGAGGAGAAATACCTTCCGCAAGGATAAGTCGATCTTCATAGGTAGTTATATCGGCTATTTCATTAATTCAGTGGATATGTTCAGTTATAGAAATACGAACAACTTCATAGAACACACCAGAAATCAAATACTCTGTTACTTTATATTGTACCAGGTATTTGCCGCAACAATGAGGCAATTTTAAGTCCAGCGTAAGCAACTTTTATCCTTATTTTGATGAGTAGATATTACCTTATAAAAAGATATATCGGCGATAATAACCATGTTGTTCTTGTTCGATGTAAGTATATGAATTGTTATTGCAACATATTTTCCAAAGTTAAATTGCCGCTATTAGTCCGATTCAAACCCAAGAGTTTTTCACGAGAAGCATACACAGCAGCCGGAAAAATTAAATGTATGGGCTGGAATTTTCGGTGAGACCGGTTGGTGGGTCCTTTTCTTCTACCTGGTACTTTGACTGGCCAAATGTATTTGCAATTACTGGAAGACGCTATTGACCCTGTCTTGACTGATATTATTGAAAATGTTCCAGAGTATGATAAAGATCATTTGATTTTTCAACAGAACGGTGCTCCTCCGCATTATGCGTGAATAGTCCGTCAGTATTTGGACCAACGTTTTCTACGGAATTGGATTGGGAGAAGAGGCAGCATTGAGTAGCCTCCACGATCACCGGATTTATCGCCCCTTGATTTCTTTTTGTGGGGATACCTAAAAAGTAATATCTATAAAACCGCAGCCAGCGTCGCTGGAAGATTCGCGTCAAAAAATTGTCGACGAATGCCGTCGAATCACTCCGGAAATGCTTCGGAATGTGCGCAAACGTTTCGCGGGCGGTCATCAGTTTGAACATTTAATCAACTAAGTAGTAAGTAAGCAACTAAACATAATTTAAATTTTAAAATGTACCTAAATTTTTTCAAAGTATTGGGCGGAATTATAAAATTTAAAGTCTGTTGTAAAGACAATTGTAAAAGCTTTCAAAAGAAATATTACTCAACGCCCAATGTCATTTTAATATTTTGGGGTAATGCTTGGGGGTGAAAGTGGCGGAGTCAAAAATACCAGCAAAGAATGTCTCCCTTTAATCTAAAATCGACGGGTCTGAGCGTTTTTCTACAATCTTGACGCAGTTCCTGAAAATGGCTCTGTTTCGTTTTCATTTGGCCATCCTGTATAGGTACACCTACTATAAGCTACCTTGTTGTAAGCGATTAGAAGTTCAAATTATCACGCTAATTACTCTTTACAGAATTATTGCCTATTTTAATACAATAATAGTTTGACTTACTCAATGCAACGACTATTTAGATTATTTAAAAGTAAAAGAACGCCTAAGGTATCACGATCAGAAAGCAGTAATAAAAGTGACAAAATTCTTCCAATTCAATTATATTATTCTCTTTCGGTTGTGGGGTCTGTCAGTTTACTTTCGGGTGACTTTTCTAACATCACATTATGAATATTATAAAAGTCTTCGACTGACAGGTGATTAGTCTGAAAGGTTGTAAACATCGATTATCCATTTGGAATTGGATAATGGGTAAAACTTAAATAAAAATGTATATGTACGCAACCAAAATCACTCATACGCGTAAGTAATCCTACAAATAGTTATAATTTTGAACAAAGTTACTTACGAATTATAAGATGATCCGAAATTTTCTCTCAATATTTTGAGAATGAAGTATATAAAAAATAAGAGCAGACTTTTATATAAACTTGATATTTCAAAATTCTTTTAGGCATATTATTTATATTGTAAATAACTATCAATATTTCCCAAATTAGCAATATGTACCATCCCCATTTAAAAGGGATACATCTTTATCTCTTTTATTATAAATTTTCAATCTGTTCACTCTGAAAATGTTGGCAGGAAATTTTGGAACCACCTCTTAACTTTAATACTTAACCTCGTTTGATTTTTAATATACAAATGTTTTATCTGGTACAGATTTCCAATGATATTTTTACATTTTAAAACACTTTTATCAGTATTAACACGATACAATTTAATTTGTATGTATAATTTTAGTCTAGCTTTTCCAATTCCCTTCTAAAATTAGTTTTAGAAATAACACTACCCATTTTCACTTCCTATTACGACTGTTAAATTTGGCAATAAAGGTAAATGGGGTGGAAGAGGAATACGAGATGATGAGTGCCTATATTAAAACCATTAAAATGTAGTTAAGTAGATTTGGCAGAATAATCAGTGGCAGTAGCGTGTCACTGGGTAGCCTTAGGTGGATAATTTAGAGCTATTATTAAAATTAAAGATAACTGGAGGGGTGCAATGTCGTTTATAAATATTGTTTTCGATATCAGTTTACTTTAAACAGAAACATAATATTGTATAACAGCAACATTGCCACAAACTTGAAAGACGGTTTCTTTCCATTGATACAAACAAAGGTAGTATAAATTTTCTTGCCAAATCGATTTCAGATTTTTTTAGGGATTTTAAATATTTTGCTACCTGTAAAAAAACTCTTCTAAGAATACTCGTAGGTTTGTGGTGGTGTTCGGAAATTTAAACGCAAACTTTACTTTCTACGAAAAAATTTTGACACAAAGGTTTTGATTGAAGACGGTCAATCTAAGTTTGTAAAAAAAAATTATTCGCACTGTCAAATAACTTTCTTGTGCTGCTGGTCTAGAAAATATATGTTTCTGATCACCTTTTAGATCGGAAAGTGGGTACAGTGACATAAGAGCTCAGTGAAGTAACTATCTAACTGTTACGTCAAAACTTGCTTTAAAAACATAGTAGATATGTATCATAGTTGTCTGCCAGCAGCATATATTTGTATGTCTCTAAATCATTTAGAAATGAATAGCGATGAAAGTGACGGTTAAACATTCCTTTCGATATTAAAGTAACGACTAGAGTTCGAGGTTTTCGTCGGCTATAGTCTGATTAGAAATGAAAGAGAGTAATAAAAGCTTATTAAGTATGCAAATCGTAAATAAATGTAGTACTGGTGCTTATATTCAATATTTTTATATTATGTATTATCGGTATAGATGAGGTGTACTTTT